CTGGAATCTGAGCTATGATACTAGTAGTGGAAAAAGAAGACAAATAGGTTGATTCACTGTGTGGTGGATTTATATTATTTATTTATTTATTTATTTTTTTGACAGGCAGAGTGGACAGTGAGAGAGAGACAGACAGTAGGTCTTCCTTTCCGTTGGTTCACCCCCCAGTGGCCACTACGGCCGGTGCGCTGCGGCCAGTGCACTGCGCTGATCTGAAGCCAGGAGCCAGGTGCCTCTCCTGGTCTCCCATGCGGGTGCAGGGCCCAAGCAAGCACTTGGGCCATCCTCCACTGCACTCCCGGGCCACAGCAGAGAGCTGGACTGGAAGAGGGGCGATCGGGACAGAATCTGGCACCCCGACTGGGACTAGAACCCGGTGTGCTGGTGCTGCAGGCGGAGGATTAACCTATTGAGCCGTGGTGCCGGCCGCGGATTTATATTTATATTTAATCAACATAATTAAGCCCAGATTCTATCTCAGAATCCCCTTCTCTGCATGGTTTCAGGCCAACCCTGGTCACAAGAGACATTATGGCCCAACATTTGGAAATCACAAGCGAAGTAACAGTCAGTGCAGTTGGTGTGGAAACATCACTTGTTAATATCACACACACTGTTGCTGCTTTGCTGGCTCAGTCATTGTAATGAATGAACAGTTCTACCTGCCGTCTCTCCCACTTATGCCACATCTTCAGCTTCTGTAAATCTTGGGGCAAGCATAACAGTAGACAAAAAAGCAACAGCTGTGCATAGTTGTCTTACCCAGCTTACACAAATAAAGTCAACTCTTTACAGTGAACTCCATATTCTATGTAACTTCTAATTTTTATTGTGATTGAACCTTGATACAAATTTTTTTGCTATAGCAAAATACCTAAGCTGTGTACCAGGAGCACTGGGACTGGGCCTTGAGTGGAAGTTATAAGGGTGTTGAAGAGACTATTGACAGGAACCTTATGTCATTCTAGGAGGCTGCTGGTGTGAATTTAAAGAAAGCAAGGAAAATACTCTTGGATACTAGAAGAAAGATTACTGCTATTACACAGTAATTTTTAGCAATGTTGGCAACAAGAACCCATGGAAAGTAAAATATAGATTTCCAACAGGATGATTAAGTTAAGATTCCTAGTTAGAGCATTGAAAGTCCTATAAGTATTATTCTAGCTGCCTATATTAAAAGACAGAAGGAATAAGGCAAGCAAGAGGAAGACTTATGAAATACAAAGAAGCCACAAATTTTTGGCTTTGAAAAATACAACCATTTCTCATTACTAGCCTCTCCAGACAGTAAATAATGCTAAAATTAAGAAATAGATTCCAGACAGAAAATCCAGGGAACTCTCAGAATAATGAAGTTTAAAGGAGAAGTCAAAGGCATGACTAGGAAAGCCTTTTTCAAGATCTCATGAAGATTAAAAATGCTATTTCATCAACAAATGACAGTGTTTCTACAAATCTTAAAGAGAATGGACCCACAGTAGTTTCATATGAGAACCCAAGATAGAGAAAGGCCATCCCAAAGATATTTGTGGGTGTTGCTTTTGTCTGATGGGGTAAATTCTAAACTGAAAAGAAACATCACAAAAGCATTAAAGGGTTTGTATAATTTTGGATAAAAAGGAACAGCACAAAGCACAAATGTAAAATGGTACAGCTAGTTGCCATGGAAAACACTGTGGCATTGCCTCAAAAAGGTAAACATAGAGTGGTGCCATATGACCAAGATCTCCACCCCGAGTATACACCCAAGAGAAATGAAAAATGTTCATGCACAAAAGATATGCTCAGATTCTCATATCAACATTATTTTTAATAGCTGAAAAGTAGAAAAAAAAGTCCATCCACTGATTAGTGGAAATTCTGTAAAATGTGGCTTATCATGCAGTGGGTGTGATTTGACAAAATAAATAAAGTACTGGTACTTTAGTACTGGTACTATGATATGGATGAACCTGTGAAGCATCATGCTAAGTCATAGAAGCCAGCCACATAATACCACATATTGGAGGAGTCCATCTACATAAAATGATCAGAATAGGAAAATCTATAGAGATACAAAGTAGATTGGTGATTGGCCGGCATTGTAGTAGATAGAAGATTAGGAAGTAATTACTAAAACCTCCAGGTTTAGTTTTCGGAGTAATGAAGGTGTTCCAAAATTGATGGTTTTACATCTTGGTGAATATATGAACACACATTGAATTGTGCATTTTAAATGGGTGAATTGTGTGATATGTGGATTATATTTTAATAAAGTTGTTACCACAAAATAAGAAAATGAAAAGAGTTCCTTAGACTCTTGAACTTGTATGCACAGGACGGATCAAGAGCTTAAAGAGGGGGAACCAAAAGCTAATTCCAATCAAGGAACTAACATTAGGTACCTTGTCAGGTTTTGGAACTGCTATGAACCAGTGGCTACTTTGATCTTTTTAAAAATTGAACTGCCAGCCACCAGCTTCTACTACTAGATATGGGTAAAGGAGCCCTTAGATGATTTCTGTTCCAGCTTTTGAGCTGTCATGACTGTTAGAAAGAGCATGGACAACCTCTGTCCAAAATTCGCTTTGTGAATAAAGTAACTATCATTTCAAGTCCCTAGGTTATGCAGTGGTTTGTTTCATAGCGATAGATAGCTGGAACAGGTGGTAATGGCTGGATTGCCAGTTTGATTGTTGAAAGTAAAGGAAAAGGAATCAAGGTTTACTGGGTTTTGTAGGTTCAGAAAATTAACAAGAAGCAATATCAGGTTATAATGACCTTCTCCCAGGTTAGGTAGCTAACCAATTGCCAATGTTTCCCTAGTGTCAGCTGGGGTGCTGACTACAGAAGTTACTATAAGTGATGAAAGTCTTTTTTTTTTAAAAACTTAAAGCCTTAAGATCAGTTTGTTTAGATAGTAACAGTTTGAATATTATTATAGCTAAAATAATAACAATGAAGAAGTTGAAAGATAGATTTGGAAGTGGTAAGGCAAAGTGCAGTGATTAAGCAGCTGAAAAGTTGTTTCATCACTCTTGGAACTGCTCTGGAAGCTACTGTCAATCAGCACCTCTTGTTTTTCTGTTATGGTAGTACTGAGGTTCATTGTAACATCTTTCTAAATTTAATGTTCCTTTTTTAGGACTTAGGCTCTTACTCTACTATTGGAAAAAGTCTTATCTCTAATAGTTCTCCTCTCTCAGGGATGTCTTCCCTGGTGGTCCTGTTTGAAACTGTAAGCTTCTCATTCCCTATACTCCCCATTTTCTTTCTGAAGGACCCCAAAAGTGGTGCCCTTTTGTGACGACCCCAGAAACACAGACTCCAGACCAGGCGATGCAAAAAGCAAGAGGCAGTTTTATTTCATTTGCGCAAATGGGCTCTCTGCCGCCGCAAGCAGCGAGAAAGAGAGGAGCCCCGAGCAGTTATCTCACACAGCTTTTAAGGGGCAAAACCACAAAATTAACATACCATAGGGTGGTGTGAGTTCATTGGGCAACTACAAGGGGAGGGGGTCATTGAGGAGGAGAAACGTGCCCTACGTGCCTTGAGGTTTCTTTGTTAAGCTTGGACAAGGGGAGAGGGTCGTTGAGCGGTGAGGAAGTATAGTCAGTGGAAAAGTACTGGGTCGAAGTTCCTGTTTTTCTATCTTATCAAGGCCACCTTTAGGGCGGCTCTCGGCAGCTCTCGGCTGCTCCCTTCACTTTCCAGCTTTACTCTTTTCCTGTAGCATCCATCATCATTTAATATACATTTTATTTATCCTAATTGTCCATCTTCTAGTAGAATGTAATGTCCTTGAGAGCAGGGATTTTTGTCTTTATCATCCTTTTACCTCAGTAACTGCAAGTGTTGAGCATTTAGTAAATGTTCAATGAAACCTTGTTTTTGAAAGTCAATTTAAATGTGGCATATTTATATGAGAATGTAACCCAAATGCCTCGAATCCTCATTATATCTGGGTACAAATGAGGTTCTGACAATAATCAGATATCACTGAATATATCTTCCCCATCTTCTTTTGTTTTAATCTTTTGTTTGGAAATATTTAAGCATAAGAATAGCAAAACTGGTATAGTGAACCCATGTGTAGTTATTATTCAGCATTTATAACTATCAGCGTTGGTCAGTCTTGTTTGGTATGTTTCTTCCACCCAAGACATCATAATATTTCACCTGAAAATTTGAGTATTTCCAAATGTTAAGAACATTTAAAACAAGCACTACCACCATCATATTATCATGTATGACAAAATAATTCCCATCACCTAATATGAATCCATAAACAAATTTCCCTGATTGATTCCAATACACTTTTATTCAAATGTGAATTAAAACAAGTTTCAAGAATTAAAACAAGGTTCAGGAATTGTATTTGCTGTTATTTGTATTAAGTTTCACTTACTCTGTAACAGTTTTCCCTCATTTTTGTTAAGAACGAATAACTGTTGGTGAAAACTTTTATTATTTGCCCTGTAGATTTTCCAAGATCAGAATTTGACTCACCGCTTCCTTAATATGAACTTGACTTGTACTTTTGTCCTCATATTTTCTGTAAATGGTAGATATCAAAGCTGTGACTAGATTCAGGTTCAATTTTTAGTCAAGAACATTTCACAGATGGTGTTGTGTACATTTTTTATTGCTTCATATCTTAAGGCTTATAATGTGATAGTCTCAGTTTTAATGCTGCCAAGATTGACTGGTGGGTTAAGCTCTGATCCCTTCCTTATGAAGTTCCTAATCAACTTTTCACCTAATTTTAGCATCCAATTATGATTTTTGCATAGATCTTTTATTTCAGCATAATTTGCAAAAATGGTGACTTTTCTAAAGCAAGTTTTTTCTTCCTCATTTATTAACACTAATTGCTGTACAAAAGAGAACTTCCTTAACTGTTAGGTTATAATAAATGCTTATTTTTTCTTCATCAATTTTCAGCCTTAGTACCTTAGTAACCCCCTACTTTCATTAATGAATTGCTGTTTTAAAAGTGTGATTATAAACACAGACTTTACTATGTTTTGTTGTGTTTCAGTCCACTCGAGGTTATTTTTCTGATCTTCAATGGGAGCTTCCAGAAATTGGCTTCTGTGTCCTTTTGATGTGGACACACTGGTCTTTGATAACTTCCATGCCTCTGGCATAAGACGCCCCAGGCTTATCTTCTACATTTCCTGCCCCCAACCTGGACCAGTTGTTTCTCCAGCCTACCTTCCACATAGAATATCATCTAATGTTCCACTTTCAACATGGCAGATCTTAGAATGTTGTTGTTTCCATGACACACTAATTCTGCAATTAGAGGCTCTAAAGAACTCTGATTCCTAGTTCTTACCTTCTTTTTCCTTTTCTCTTCCAAGATCATGACTGAGAGATTGTTAATAAGTGCATTAAAGGGTGGCAAAAACACTAAGATCATTACGTTGAATGGGAAGAAGATGACAAAGATGCCCTCAACATTAGAAAAACTGCCTGGCTTGAATACTCTGAACCTTCAGAACAACCGAATCCCAAAAGTATGCCCAGAGATCAGCACCTTAACCCAGGTGAGGAACAGCGTATTTTGTTAGCTTGATAAAAGTAGTGAGAGAGAGAACAATAAACCTTTGCTCTTTGGAGGCTAAGCTCTCTGGATATCTAATGTAGAGCATTGTTGGAAAAGCTGAAGAAGGCTTTCTCGCTAGGGAATTACGTGTGGTAGGGAGAGATGTTTCAATTTATTTGTGTGCTCTTTGGCCCACATCTGGGATCAGGGGATTAGGTCCTTGCTGCGCTCATCTTTCTGGAGGCTGTCATCTGGAAAGGGGTTGGAAGCTGGGGTCTGTTTGTCTACCTTGGGGGCTCACATCTGGAAGTAGGTTGAGAATCTGGGAGATGCTGTTCTCCCTGGGGATTGTCCTGAAGCCTTTGCATATGGAATGAAGAAAGTTTAGGATGTGGGAAGGGAGTTCCTTTTCAATTTCCTAGAGCAGACTAAAACTTTGAAATGGCATGTTGGCAGGGAATAGGAAGGAGGGGATGTTCATTTCTTCTGAAACAGTCTTTAAAAGCAGGTTAATATTTTAAATGAAGAATGCCCTTCTTAGAGGGCAATAGTTGACGTAAATGAATCCCAGATGCTTGGGTTAAACTTTTCTGCCTAACAATGTAAAACTCCAGCTGCTGAAAATCTTGAGGTTGAGAGAAGGCAAGGGTTATTGACTTTGTGATTTTTCCTTTTGTTTGCTTTTAAATGCTCATTAGCAGGGAAAGAAGCTTCAAGCAGCTAAGTCATTCTAGCTCACTGATTTTGAGTTCAGAGTTACAAAAAATAAATAAGCAAATAAAATAAATCTCTGTTTTACTGTCACTTTGCCTGATTTCCTTTTATATTTAAAAAGAAATTTCAATGTGTAATCCATGGTCGGGTTTTCACAAGAAATAAGGAAATAGCCAGATAGCCACGCATTTCTCCCTTCAGCAATGACCTCAGAAAGAGTACTCGTAGTTACAAGCCTACAGGACGTGGGCTTTTGTAATGGGAAGGAGGGGTTTATAGGAAAAAGAATTTGGAACCAAACCATGAAACAGTTCTTCCCGACTGCTTGAATTTATTTTCATTAAAGTAATATTGCAAATTGTTTCTAAGAAAATTAATTACTAAAACAAGTTCATATTAAAATGTGATCTCTGTCCAAATTCCCCTCATCTCCAACTCTGATCGCCATATATAATCAGTTTTAACTCATCATTTTTCCCTTGATTTTAGACATTACTCTTCATCTTCCAAATGCAGTTCTATTTATATGTTTATTTATCCATAGTTATCTTAGAAACTTACTATTACACCTTTATTTCTTCCTTCACCACCCACAATTTCCTTTTACTCCTCACTTGGTAAAACAACAATATCCAAGTCTGCAATCCCTGTAAAGCTCTCCCTCTTCCTTCTCCCTTCTGTAAAATTTATAGAATTTACACACTATTCAGTTCTAACCATGATCACTTTGTTTTGTCTCTTGGTAAATTCTAAACTTCTAAAATGTATATTGTTTAATATAATAAGTAAATGTAATTCAGATGGAGTCAGTCAATCTCGTGTAGCTGTAGTTTCTTTCTTTGGGTACCATTTTTGTTCCTTCGGAGTTTCTAATTCCCTCTGCTTTACTTCGTGCTCTTGCTTTGTTATGGTCTCATTTTGTTTCAGATTCGGTCACACTACCTAGTCTATCAGATGTGCTTTCTCCCGAAGAGCCTTTCCTCAGGGGCCACTGTTCTGGCCCAGTGCGCTGCTGGCTCTGGGTTCATGGGATACGGTCAGCCCACAGCATCCTTCTGCTGCTCTCCTGAACTGCCCCCACTATTTTCGCTATCTCTTTTTCTTGGTTTACCGTCTTATTTTTTCAGGAATGAGTCTCCAGCAACCCATCCTAGTTTGAGTATGTGGTAGTTAAATTTTTTTGATTCTTGGGGCCAGTGTTGTGGTATAGTGGGTTAAGCCACCTCCTGCTGGCATCATATATGAGAGCCTGTTTGCAGCCCAGCTCCTTCACTTTCAATCCAGTGCCCTGCTGATGTGCCCGAAAAAGCAGTGGAAATGGTCCAAGTGCTTGGGTCCCGCACTCACGTAGGAGACCTGGAAGAGGCTCCTGGCTTCTGGCTTCGGCCTGGCCCAGCCCTGGCCATTTGAAGAATGAACCAGTAGATGGAAGATCTCTCTCTTTCTCTGTCTTTTCCTCTCTGTCTCTCTCTCTGTCTCTCTTTCTGTAACTCTTTCAAATACATTAATTAATTGCAAATTATTTTAAAGAATTATTTTATTTATGTGAAAGACAGAGTTAGAGAGGTAGAGCCAGGGAGAGAGAGGTCTTTCATTCCACTGGTTCACTCCCCAAATGACCGCAACGGCCAGAGCTGAGCTGATCTGAAGCCAGGATCTTCTTCTGGGTCTCCCACACAGTGGCAGGGGCCCAAGGACTTGGACCATCTTCTTCTGCTTTCTTAGTTCATAGCAGGGAGCTGGATTGGAAGAGGAGCAGCTGGGACTTGAACCGGCGTCCATATGGGATGCTGGCACTGCAGGCTGGGACATTAAAGCCACAACGCCAGCCCGTACAAATATTTTTTGACTCTTTGCATATCTGAAAATGTCTGTGTTCTCCTCTCATGTTTGATTAGTAGTTGCTTTGATTAAAAAAAAAAAAGTTCAGATTTAAAAAATGCTTCTTCAGTAAAAAGAATACCAAGTCTGGTTATCACTACCTTTATCATTATTGTTACTTGTGTTGTTCTTATAGCTTCTCTTGTTGCTTTCTTTTTATTCTTCTACAATTTAGGGGTAACTCTAAAGTTTGGTTTCTGTTTGCACAAACTTAGTTTCCTTCAATAGGGATAGGGCTAAGCAATTTTTTTGTTTATATAAAGGGAACAGATTTCATATATTTCAAATAGAGAGTTTTAAGAATATAATGATACTTCACTCCCTCCCGCCCTCTAAGATTCAGCTGGTTGAAACTATGTTTTTTGTGGTCTTTAAAATACTTTATAATTCAGATTTGTATTAACAGCATTATTCCGTTTAGCTGTTTGTGAACTAGCACTTTTCTTTGTATAAGGTCTCCAAAATTGTGAGATTTAAAAAAACTCATTTCTCCTTTATAATGTGAGTTATAATGTGCTAGAAACCCTCAAATAATGGATATACATTATTGTACAGTTCAGAAATTCTGGTAATTCATTCTTGTGGTTGCTATTGAAAGGGTGAATGATGATTTCAGAGAAGGAAAGAGATAGAGATAAAGAGAGAGAGAGAGAGAGAGAGAGAGAGAGAAAGTGGAGAGTCAGAGAGAGCTTAGAGAGTTGAAAGGAGCCTGGATAAGAGTTTCAAAGTTCTGGAATAACTTAATTGGTTTAACTACTTACTGGATAAATATAAAGCCCTTAATCTTTCTTGGTCTCAATTTCTGCCTTCATTTATTCAATTCACAAAAAACAAGTATTGAATATAGTCTATGGCTCAGGAGGTAGGGACTGGTGATTTAGCAGTAAGCATAACACATGGAAATCCCTGCCTTCATAAAGTTTACATTCTAGTCAGAGAATAAGAAAAAAAATTAAGTAAAATAGGATGCATAATGTTGATTAATGCAAAGGAGAAAGAGCAAGGAAAAGGGGCAGGGCATGTTGTGGCATTCTGTTGAAATGTTGATGAGTTATCTGTGCTGCCTAGTGTCCTGTGGCCTTTTATAACTTGCAACTCCATCTTGGCCTCCCATGTGGGTGTCAGGGGCCCAAGTACTTGAGCTATCTTCTACTTTCCAAGGCACAGCAGTGAGCTGCATGGAGCAACCCAAGACTCACATAGGAAGCTGGAATTTACAGGAGATGACTTAACAGGCTGTGTCACACTGCTGGTCCCACAACTGGATTCTTGACTCTTAGAAATAATTATTGTTCTAAATCACTAAGTTTGGGATAGTGTGCTCCAAATGGATCAATTGATAACTGATATAACAACAGATTTGGACGGATGTTTCTCCAAACAGATCTGTGAATGGCTAATAAGTGTGTGAAAAGACTCATAACATTGTTACTCATTAGGGAACTGAAAATTATAACCACAATGTGATACTACTATAAACATACTAGAATGACTCTAATAAAAATATTGTCTCTACCAAGTACTGGTGAGTGTGTTTTAAAATTAAAACCTTTGCACACTACTGGTGGGCATGCAAAATGGAAAATCAGCTTCAAAAAAAAAAAAACATAAATTCACCATACACTTTAGCAATTTTTGTCTTAGGTATCTATTGAAGAATAATAAAACATGTGGACACAAATACTTGTATGTGACTATTCATAACAGCATTATACATGATATTCCTACCCTGGAAACAATCTAAATTTCCATCAACTCATGAATGAATAAACAAAGTCTAGTCTGTTTATAAAAAAAACTATAGTAATAAGAAATATAGTACAGGAAATATTTTTCAGCAATAAAAATGAGCATACCGCTGATACATGCTACAAGAATGAGCCTTAAAAAACATGTTGAGTGAAAGAAATCTTGTATAAAATGCCACCTGTTATATATTTTTAAAATTTTTTATTTATATAAGGTGAGCACATTTCATGTATTTCTTATATACAGATTTAGGAACATAGTGATGCTTCCCACTCTCCCCTCACTCCCACCCAGGCTCTCACCTTCCCTCTTCCTCCCTTTATTATCCTTTCTTTTAATTTTTACAATTACATACTTTTATTTTATAATTGTAAGATTAATCCTCCACTAAGTAAAGAATTCAACAAAAATAAGAAGAAAAAATGCTGTTCCTCAACAGTAGAGACAAGGGCTGTAAACAATCATCAAATCTCAAAATGTTATATTATTTATACAATATTTCCATAAAATTTAAATGTGTGGAGATAGGACTAAAAGCAGTGCCCAGGACTGACGTGTTATCTGCTTTTATCAATAATGATTAACATTATTATCAACCTACCACTTTTGTTCTGTTTCATTTTGCCCTACCATGCTTCTCTTTTGGACTGAGCTTTC